TGCCATATGGAACTCTTTCCAAATTTACAGTTTGTTAACGCTTAGCAAGTTAGTGTTTAGAAAAATAAAATTGAAACCCTATTGACGGATCTGGGTTTCTCAAAATAATAATTGAGCCTACCGTTTTGAATGGAGCTTGAGGGAAATAACGTAGTTGACTACATCAGTAAAATAACTATTTCCAAGAAAAACCGAAACAGTCTTCAAATAAATTATAATGTTTCCACCTTTAAATGAAAAATAAAGGGCTCCAGAACTCAGTTTACCACATATCCAAATAATTAAAAACAACCTCTTAAGTTACATCATTTTTTTATTTGAACTATCAGGCTCGATACTTCACTTTTCATACAAATAACAGTTAAAAACGATTACAGTTATACTGTAAACTTATAAAATGACTTACTTATGGTTCATAACTTACCAGAGTTATTACTGTGTTCTCTGTAGTGCTGTAATCCCACTTTGTACAGGGAACCGTGACATTCTGATCAATAATAACATCCCAGGAATTAGGTAACTCCACTAACTTGTAGCTGTAGCTCTGACACTGGCTGAATTCTTGTTTCTTAGTGTCGAACGGTATGGACGCATTCTTCCATTGGATAACTGTCCAGTTCTCTAGTTGGTGTGGCTTGGCACACCAATGGTCAGTATCGGGAGCCAAAAACGGTAGGGCCAAAATTTGCCATGCTGTCGGTATTCCGCGGTATACAAGTAAAATTATTATGTAACACTGAAGTCGTCCCAAGTTACCAATGACGTCAGTTATTTCCATGTTTTACTTTTGTTATTGTTTTTTTTTTTTACTCACAAGTTTTTTCGTACTTTAAATATACAATAAACTTCTGACTGGACACAGCAGTAAGATGTTGGCTAAATAAATACCTCACAATTCGATCGAGAATCTTTAGAAGAAAAAAATAAGAAAAACTAAATAGTCAATCAAGAAAATTTTTTTTTTAAATAATTTGATATTTAATAAATCAAACTTCTCTGAACTTTGATAACAAAAACGTAGACTCGATCTTCACTTATTTATATATTTCACAGCTACAAACATTTCGAACGAGCTTTATCTCCATTATTAAAAACTATTCGGATTTTATAAACAAATCCACAAAATGATCCGGTGTAAATTAAATACAACTCATAAACTGTTGGAAACTGATGAGTGTGTAAGACCGCAAGATTTTCTAAGAGTTAGATCTAGTTGGAGAAACTGGGAAACTTCAAACGTTCCCAACCCGTCCTCCCCACTTCTGGTGTCGATTGTGTACATACTGCCCAATCTAGTTACAGGCTGCAAGGAAGAGAAGATGTTAGTTACGATAGGAGTTGAGTCACGCTGCTATTGGTGGAGTGTTGCTGCATGGTTATTTGAATAACACCATGCACATGTCTCAAGTGAATAATCGTAAGGGTAGGTGGGAGTATCAAGTCTAGTAGCGAGCGAAAAATTTGAATGTAAAGAATGAAAGATTGGAAATGTAGATTTTACAAACAAAATAGAAACATAATTAATATTCCATTGCACGTAGCATTTTACTGCAATAATTCAGTGCGCTATTGTAAATTGGTGCAACTCAAAAATTGTATATGCATTTTTCATTCGAAGCGCAATTTATGCTCACGTGGTCGAAACGTGCAGGCAATAGACCCTAAGGTTCAGGTATAGCTAGCCCTGATTTTGTAGATCAGAGGGAAAGCAACCAGTTAGTAGTTCCCGTTGTCACAGGAATGGCTCTCATTATTTCAATTTAACCAAAGCTCAAAATGCGGAACGGTATCGGGCGCTAACTTTAGGCCTTCCCACCCGCAGCTCTACACGTTTACGATAGGTCTCTCTTGGCTCAACTCAATCTGCAATTATTTCGTGGCCCTGGTGTGAATTTAATTCCCTAATCTGAGGTAGTGTTTCCCACCGACAGAAATTATGGGCCCCTATAACGTGACTGCTAACTGTTACACTTTTTTCGCTATTAATACCAGCAGGAAACAGGTAAAAACACTTAATTTAAGATAAAAAATAATGTTTTCCATTCGCTCGAGAACCTGATCAATTCTCCATTTGCCCCTCCCCCTGTTGGCGGGCTTAATTTCAGCACATGAAGTAGTCTCTAAATAAAGCATAATTTTGTAATTGAAATATGAAACGCTTTATTCTAAGAAATAACTGATATGAATTATTACAAAAAAAATAGATTTACAATTTTTTTTAACAATAAAAAATTATAGTAATTACGAAGATGTCTGCAAATGAATGAATGACGAAAACAATTTGATTTGCAAACTAGGTGATACATTAAAATCAAGCGCAAGCCTCGTATTTTAGTTCAACAAATAAATCAATAAAAAATACGTGTACTAAATGACGGTTAATCAAATAATAACGGTTAATATTATCCGTACAGTAAACTAGTTACCTGATACGAATTATTAAAGTTAATTATCATTAATTCTTTATAGAAACTCCCAGCACATTCTTTATACACCATTTCTTTACACTACTAGGGGCCCGGCATGGCCAGGTGGATAAGGAGCTCGACTCGCAGTCCCACCAAACATGCTCGCCCTTTCAGCCGTGGGGGCGTTATAATATGACGGTCAATCCCACTATTCGTTGGTAAAAGAGTAGCCCAAGAGTTGGCGGTGGGTGGTGATGACTAGCTGCCTTCCCTTTAGTCTTACACTGCTAAATTAGGGACGGCTAGCGCAGATAGCCCTCGTGTAGCTTTGCGCGAAATACAAAACAAACAAACAAACAATACACTACTAGGGACTTGTTTGTTTAAGAAGGACTTTCTTCACACCTTGGTCCCTAATTTTCAACTAATAGACTGGAGAGAGGTCTTTTATTTGTTTGTATATTTGTTATTAAGCACAAAGCTATACAATGGGCTATCTATCTATGCTGTGCTCACCACAAGCATCGAAACTCGGCTTTTACTTTTAGCAGCCCCCCTCCCAGTGGCACAGCGGTATGTCTGCGGACTTACAACGCTAGAATCCGTGTTTCGATACCCGTGGTGGGCAGAGCACAAATATCCCATTGTGTTGCTTTGTGCTCAACTTAAAACAAACAAACAAACTTTTAGCAGTGTGAGAGGTGGGGATAAAGCAACTAACTTTGGATAAGTAGAATCAACTAGAGATTACCAAGTAAAGTCTAGTTATAAC